TTAAAAATAAAAGATTATTTAGGATAAACAATCTTAACAAAAGTTGTAGTAGTGGTGATGACGATCTCGTGAAGATAAAGAATGTCTAAATTTGACTTTGTATTAAGAAGTTATGATTTTTCAAAATTTCGTGTTCAACCTAACATAGCAATGTGTGTCATAAAAAGTGAATTGGAGATCGGTTGCTTGTTAGCCAAAATAATCTAAATGAAAGTTTAAGTTCTCGTATATACGAATCTGTCGATATAAGAACGTCTAAAACAGAGTTCGTATGAAAAGTTATGAATATCGTAAAGCCTTTTACAATGTATTTCTTATACACTATAAATTATCCGACGAAGTCTAAATGAAATTTAATAGTACTCGTCGATACGAAATCGTTGATATAAAGAATGTCAGAAACGGAGCACGTATGCGAAAGATATGATTTTTCAAAAATGGTGAAAAATACTTGTGTATGCTAACCTGGCCCTATGAGAGCATGTCATGTGGCAAGGTTGAAGCCGACTTTTTTAACCGACTCAATGACGTGACCAGACGAGCATGTCACACGTGGCAAAACCTGAATAGAGCCGCCACGCCACGACGCGACGCACCGTTCTCTCTAGAAACTTTCCTATGGCCCCGAGACCGATATTTCTTAGTTTCCAGCTACTTTAGCGAGGTGTTGAAGCTTTAAAGAGCCCGACGAAATAAAGTATTCGGAGTCGAAATTTTGTCTGTGACTTTCCGAACTTTTGCCAAAAATTTATGTAAGTTAAGTTGCACTTACTACATTTTATGTGTAACTTATATGTATGTTCATTATTGTTATTATGAACCTATAAATAAGATTTATCAGTGATTCTTGTAAAAATATTTACGGGAGTGATGTCTAGGCTAGGTCTAGTAAGGTGTTTAAAGTTGAATTTCCAAACATTATACTCTGTATACCAAACGGATCTTGCATTTGATATAATTTTATCTGGTTATTCCTTATCAGATTAAACTTGATGTATTTCTTTGGAATTATTGAAGGATCCATAAATGGTTAAATATAACCTTATAAATACCAATGAATACCGAGACGTAGTAATATTCGTATTTAGGTTGTTTAAAAGAGAAAAATTGAAGTGTTAGGCGATGAGTTGGCTTAACCATGAATCTTCCACCTATAATCGAGTGAGTGGATATTTACTTTCATGAGTACGATTTAATGTAAGTATTGAATACTTAAAGAATTAAATATATGTTGAAAAGTTTGTTTGTTTGTATTCTATGTTGACAGTATACTTTATAGGTGAATTAAATGCTTATTATCTAAAATACGTGTTAAGTGTATATTTGATAATATTACGTAACACTCTATGTGAATCAGATATAACTATATAAAAGCTAAAAGTATTCTTGGTTATACTACGTGAAAATCTTATTACAAATATTATTACTTAAAAAGATACTTACCGGTTGAATTCTATGTTGAATATAAATACATGTAGGATGAAAAGTATTTCATAAAATAAGAAAAATGTTTTAGAGTTAAGCGGAGAGGAGAGTGTGCACTTTAAAATGCTTTTAAGATACATACATGATACCAAAAACAACTATAAGAAAATCCGAAGAGGCGGAGTTTACTGGATAACTGAAATGAGGATGTTGAGGTGGACTTGCGGTAGAACTATTTTGGATAAGCTACCAAATACAATTATAAGAATTCTTTTAGAGTTAAGCGGATCATCAAAAAATTAAGCGAATGACGATTGAGGTTGTATTGACATGTACAAAGAAGGTCGACATCGGAGGGTATAGTCGATGATAACTGATGGTAAGAAAAGAAGACGTCATAAAAGGAAGTTGGATGATAGTATGAGGATATAAATGGGGGAGTTTTCTCTTTCTGAGGATATGACATTAGATAGGAGCGTGTGGAGGCTTAGTATTAAGGTAGATGAGTAGCCTAACCCACATGTACCTTTTGTTATTTGATCTTTTATTGATGACAACTGCTTCACACTCATATGCACATTTTCTTAACTTTATTTATTCTCATGTTCGTGTTTTACTGTTCACAATGATTTATCGTTTCCTTGTTTGCTTCATTTATATGTATTCATATTCATAGGTTTGTTCCATATTTTTCTCATGTTTTGTCTAACTGCTAACTTTGATGTATTGTTTCCTTCTTTGCCTCATCTATGGGTCCTCGTCGAGGAACATGTCATAGGTCATCTATGTGAATCTTCGAGGCTAATTGTTAACATTCTACCTCCCTCGTCCCCATATAAATGGAATTTCTTGGGCATGTTGTTAAAATATGAAAAATACAAAATGGTGTTTCTTTTTTCTTCTTTGGAATTGTGTTGGCCTAAGAAAATAATTGAAAAAATGATGATGACCGGAAAATATGAAAGTAATTGAATGAGTATAAAATTTAGTTTAATGGTAAATCATGTATAAAAATATAAATTTAATGACTAGTTTAATGATGTTTCTCAAGGTGTAAAAACATGCTTTGACTTGTAATAATTTATCAAAATAATATTTCTTACAAAATAAATCTAAATTTAATAATAAAACATATTAAAAAATAACTAAATATATACAAAAATAATATTTTATTACCCAACAAAATATTTTTTAAAATTAATCATTTAATCCCTAACAAATAAAAATAAAAGAATAGTGTTGGCTCTCTCTCTCTCTCTCTCTCTCTCTCTCTCTCTCAATTGATTGTATATTAGATGAAAAACTGCTGGTTGTGAAGAAGGGCGAGTATCAATGGCCACTCTTCTTTCATCCTCTCTCGTCTTCTCCAATCTCTCTCGGCCTTCTCTCTCTCCCTCTATCTCCTCCCTAGCTCTATCCTCCTCATTCTCCTCCTCGTTTTCTCTATCTTCCTCCATCTCTGTCGCTCCTCACACTCTATCATCTTCATGGAGAAAAAAACCCTCTCTTTCTACCTTCACAGTGAAGGCTATTGCTTCAGAGAAGAAGAAAGTTGTGATTGTTAACACAAATAGCGGTGGGCATGCTGTTATTGGCTTCTATTTCGCTAAGCAGCTTTTGAATTCTGGGCATGATGTCACCATTCTTACCGTTGGTGATGAGAGCTCTGATAAGATGAAGAAGCCTCCATTCACCAGATTCTCTGTTAATTCTAACTCCATTGTGTTTATTTATATATATATAAAAAATTCATCCTTTTGTAGCATTAGTCAATAAAGTGAGAGAGATTTATTTGCAGGAAATTGTGGATGGTGGTGGTAAGACGGTATGGGGTGATGTTGGTGCAATTGGGACAGTTTTGGAGGGATTGACATTTGATGTTGTTTTGGATAACAATGGCAAAGATTTGGATGCCGTGAGGTTTGTTTTTCAAACATACCAAATAATTCAGGCTTAAAGTCAATTAAGCCAATCTATATGGATTTGGAGTAAAACATACAACCAATCAATCAAATTGGATTCTACTGGAATTCAATGATGATGGAAATGGAATCTTGATTGATTATTTGCAGGCCAGTGGCAGATTGGGCTAAGAGTGCAGGCGTAGGACAGTTTTTGTTCATAAGCAGTGCCGGAATTTATAAGCAAACCGAAGAGCCACCACATGTGGAAGGGGTACACACATCCTTATTCCTGAATCTTGAATCATTGCATATACTGTTTCGTTTTTACACAACATGATATTTTGTACAAAATAAAAAACACTCAAAATTGTAGTTTTTGTTCCATTTGTCAGAGTAGCACATGTTATGCAGAAGTGTTTATAATAATGAATATCACACACAGGATGCGGTGAAATCCGATGCCGGTCACGTTTTAGTAGAAAAATACCTGTCTGAGGTTTTCGAAAACTGGGCCAGCTTTCGCCCACAATACATGATTGGCTCTGGAAACAACAAAGACTGTGAAGAGTGGTTCTTTGATCGTAAGTCTTACCTTGCCTACTCAGAAAAGGGCATTTGCATCTTTTGGACAAACAAACCAGAGGTCGAGGGCTAATCTGGTGTTTGTCCTATTGATTTGACATTAGTCGTGCAGTCTGTTTTGTGATGTCGTGTGGTTAACACAACACATGAAATTTCCACAGGTATTGTGAGGGGGAGGCCGATTCCGATTCCAGGGTCGGGAATGCAGCTAACAAACATCTCACACGTTAGGGATTTATCGTCTATGCTAACAAAAGCGGTCGAGAATCCAAGTGCTGCAAGTGGGAATATCTTCAACTGTGTTAGCGATCGAGCCGTGACACTAGACGGAATGGCTAAACTATGTGCTAAAGCAGCAGGATTGCCCGTTGAGATTCTGCACTACGACCCAAAATCCATTGGGAGTGATGCAAAGAAAGCTTTTCCTTTTCGTAATATGGTAAGACCATTTTTTAATGCACAAGGTACAAGTCCATTTGTGTAAGTCTAATTGATGATTTGTTTTGCAGCATTTTTATGCGGAACCCAGAGCTGCAAAGGACATTTTAGGATGGGAAAGCAGCACCAACTTACCCGAGGATTTGAAAGAAAGATTTCAAGAGTATGTCAAGATTGGGAGAGACAAGAAGACCATCAAATTTGATATCGATGATAAGATATTAGAATCCCTTAAAATCCCGGTTCCTGTCTGATCACCCAAAATTCTAACAGTTTTATGTTCAAATTTCCTATTCTTATAAATGTCATCAGATTGCTTTTTGCCTAATATTTCATCAGGTGTATATGCTTGTATGTGTCAAATTTTACACCAAAAAAAAAAGTCAGCATAACAGTTTTGAACAAAGAAAAACGAAGGATAAAACCGCAAAATACACAAAAACACTTGTACCATTTATTTATTTTTGTAATACAATCATTTTAGCTTTTTGACTTTTGAAAGAGTTTTTCTTCTATATTTTGAGCTATAGAAAAAGTCAAAAACACAAAAGTTACCTAAATTTGGATAAAACCATTTGCACCTTACTCTGTGCTCCAACAGCTGTAATCTTTTAGCACAACAAACCTGAACCAATGACTTTTAGTATGGGTCTGACAAATTTCATTTCTAGAACAAAATTTCAATTTATAAAACGACAACAAAAGTCATAATAGAGTTGCAATAATAATAATAATAATATTACAAGTACCCAACTTCATAGGTTTGAATAATATATAGATAGAAAACATATCATTCATCCCAACTCTTGATTAGATTCTAAATATACTGAATCCATCTTCTCCTACTCTTCCTGCTTGATTTCAAGATCCTTAAGCTTTGACTGCAACTCATCTTCATTAGCATCATCACCATCTTCATCATCATCATCATCATCATTATATTCTTCTCCTTCTGGGTCATTTTCGTCCAATGGACCAAGAACACTAGGAAAACTCTTGAATATCTCTTTCACGTTATCAACCCCTTCATCCGATAAAAAGTTACCATTAATGTTCAGTAATTTAAACCCTGGTTTACCCACAACAGCCTGAGACAAAGCCCTAGCTCCAACCGTTCTGATTCCGTTTGTGCTCAGGTCAACTTCGGTCAACTGTCCAAACTCTTCTTTAAGTGAGTTAGCAATCACTATCGCACCTTCATCCTTCAATTCATTCTCAGATAAAACCAATTTAATCAAAGTATTTTTCTTTGCGGTTATAACAGCCGCCAAAGCCGAAGCCGATTCCGATGTAATATCGTTTCCGGCCATCTCCAGAACTTCAAGGGGGGAATCGGAATCCTTGATTGCATTCACAAGAGCCAAAGTCCCCTCGTCCTCCAAATTCAAGTAGCTAAAATACACCTCGGTGAGACTAGTAAACACTGGAATGGCTTTGCTTAATGCGATTCCGGCTTCGATTCCAAACATATTGTCACGAAGATCAATCTTTTTCAGATTGGGGCAAGTCCCGAGTGCTTTAGATAATGCAACCCCACCTTCGGAATCAACCCTCGTGGAGGAGCACCGGAAGTCCTCCAGAATTGGTGATTCCTTCACGAGTCCGGAAATGGCAATCGCCCCTTCGTCTCCGGTCATGTTGTTATGAAAATGAAGGACTTTGAGTTTATTTGTTGATGGGATTAATTCACATACTGCCTTTGCAGCTTCCTCTGAGATACCATCATTCATCAAATACAACTCTTCAAGGTTACTTTGTGAAGCTAAAAGCTTTTCAAATGCCCTTACACCTTTTTCACCCAAAGCATTATTTGAAAGGTTTAAATACCTAAGATTTGACCCTTCAAGAGCTGAGGCAAAAATGGTCATGACTTCAAGAGCATCAGCTTCTGGCCTCCCGGCGATAAAATCGGATAGGTCAACTTCGGTCAACTGCTCTTTCAGAGATGACAAAATGGGTCCAGCAATTCGGGCAGCATCCAGACCGAAACTTCTATTGCTAAAACATATCTTTGTGTATTTGTTTCCAGGTTCAGATAAAGGTTTTAGAAGTTCTTGAGCTTCATCTGCCTCAATGAAGGCTCGCTTTCCTCCAGAAATGTCAAAGAAGGTTTCATGGTGTGGTGTAACTGAATCTGGTATGGGTTCAGGTTCTTGATCTGTTTTTGGTTTAGGGCCTCTTTTCACAGCTTCCACCATGAGTTTACTGGATTCTTTAGCATAAGTTTGTACAGCAGATCCTCCATCACCATCAGGTTCCTTTTCAAAGTGTTTGTTTGCAATGGCAAAGGCTGATGACTCTATTTGCTTTGCCTCTTCTTCTGCTTCTTCCTTGCTTAAAATACCATATTTTCTAGATAGAATAGATGGAGTTGTGAGATTTTTAACTATACGTTGCACAAGAACAAGCCTGGTGCCATGACTTGGAGGCCACAATTTAATTGAGCGCAGTTGATTTGGTGCAGTAGACTCCATATCAAACGAACCTGCAATAACACGATAAAATACAGAAGATTTAAATCTTGCGCTCGTGTTTAATCCAGCACGACTTACTTAAGAAAGTTATCAGAACTAATAAATCATTCACCCTAATCTTTAAAATAAAGAAAATGAACTAGCGAAATAGCTTAAATGATAACACTTTCGAACAAACGGTAGCGCTGTAACCTCGATACATAAGCCGTCAATGTCGTTTATCTGAAACAACTGATATATATTTTCTGTAATGCATAAATTCAACATCGACTACATTTACTGATATCCTACGATTAGCTGAACTTTCATCCATTGCACAAAGGATTAAGTTAAGATTCTTCGGTTAACAACAGATTAAACTAAAACAGCAAAATCAATGGATAAGATAAAAAGAAAAACAAATCCGATACAAAGTGCCCTAGTTTCCAGCGTCAACGGTCGTGTAGTAAAGGATCCGGTCATTAAATTCATTAAACACAAACAAGATCTGAAAGAAATAAATGCTCTTTTCAGTGTAATAGGGCAAAAGAAATATGAAGAAAAACTTTACCGGTGGTGGTGGTGGATGTGAAAGAGAAACGGCGACTGATGAAGTTTTCTCCTGTTGAAAACCGTCCGGAGCGGCTCTTTGCTCCGCCGGCAAAGACGAAAACCCTTTGAAGTATGAAGAGGGCAATTCGAACTGCAAAGTGGGGGACTGTGATTGTTTCCCCCGTGATTATGTTTTTGTATGGAAGAAGGCACGTGGGCCCTAATGGACTTGGAGAAGAAGCGATACGCCGATACGAATACGATTTCCTCTCTAGGCCAGGCTGCTGTCTTACAAGCCCATTTTATTTTTTAGATATGGCTCATGGGCCATCCAACTCAGAAAAACACTCCACTAGGGTGTTGCTTTGCTGCTACCTTTTTCATGTTTTTATTATTTATTTAATTTATATTTCTAAAGGCAGTGGTTGTTTATGTAAATTTTATTCCCTTTTTATCCCGGTCCGATTCTATCCGACTGATCCCTATGCTCACCCCAACCTTTAATAGCTCTTTTGGAAAGTATAATTATAAAATAATTACTCAAAATTACGTTGATCTTGAATTTTTTGAATGAGCTCATTGTAGCCAAAAAAAAAAAAAAAAAAAAAAAATTATGTATACATCATCATTGCAAAAACAAGATAATTACCTTACCCTCAAGGAAGTCGTACGTCTCCCCCTTATATCCGTATATGGTGAAAGTTCCATGTCTTTTGCTCACCAAATGATATACTTGTTTTTAATGATTAATAATATCTATCAATTTATACTAACTAAGATGTATTCATGTACTTTTTATGTCCATGGTGTAGATTAAATTGAAGGTAAGATTGTCATAATGGTGTTAGGCTCATTTAGCTGGAGTGGTCACCTCTTTGTGCCTATTACCATGACTAGCCAATTCTCTTGGATCCTTTGATACCCATGTTTTGTCCCGTGCATCCACTTTAAGCATCTATTTGAGAAATGGGTATTTTGGGAAAATCATAAATAAAGAGCATCTTATTAGTAGATGGATAATTTAGGTATTTTACTTAATAAGTTTGTTATGCCAAAGTATTATAAGAGGATGGTTGGAAGGAGGGTGAAGGTATCTTTTGTCAAATTCTGGTCTTAGAACTCTTGGGAGAGGTTAGGCTCTCGAATCTCTAGCAAATCATTAGGTTTATCGTTATTATTCTTGCGTTGGTTTGAGTGTTTTAATTCAATACGAAGAACCTTTTGTCATGGTTATTGTTTATTGAGTTTATTGAGATATCAATTCATATCATCCTCATTCAAAGAGAAGGTTTGGAGCACGCGCTTGCCTCCTTGTCCCTTCATTCTCTCTCATTGTCCCCTCTTTGACTCGTAACTTGTCCTATAAATAAAAAACACATCTCCACCATTAGGAGGGACATCATATTCATCCATACCTGACTCGCCCTCTCACATACACTTCTCAAGATGGTTCGCTTTAGTCTAGAGAAACAAAGTGCCCTAGTTTATGTACTATACATATTTGATTTAATCGTCAGAATCTGCTCTTAAAAGACAACAGTCATCATTCGATACTCTTACATCAAATTTTGAAGAGGACTACAGTACTAAAATATGAAAAATCAAACTCTAAAATCTTTTTGACATCACGAGAGAAACAAAGATGCAATCTTTTACCAAACAAAAGGCAACTAATCTTCATTATTAGTTATATTAACTAAACAATAATATATAACATAATGGTTGATAAATAGATCAAACCATCTTGATACAACAGCTACAAACAATTTTCTAAATGGTTCGATAAGTGTTCTAGTTTCACATATTTAAAAAAAAATAAATAAATAAATAAAAAATCATTCGATATGTATTCCAATAGTGGTATGATAACTGGAGTCATTACTGTTCTTCGACCAGTTGTCTTTGATTAATCCACATGCACAGTTGATCACATGCAATGGCCGTTGTACCTGAACCTCCTCCTCGCCTGGAGCCACATTCATCAACGCCGAACAATACCTTCCAAATGTAGAAATGTCAACATACAGTCGAAAATCAATTCCAAACAGAAATTTCATCTCCAGTCTGTTCAATTCTGCTGTTGTCACTCCTCCCACTTTCGCATAATACGCATTATTAAAAAATCTGCAATAATTGGATGATTAAGAAGGTCGATTAGGGATTTGGGAAGAAGAATTAAGAAGATCGATTAGGGACTTACGCTTCATCAATGAACTTTGTAGCTACCAATATGCTTGTGATCAAAAGACGATGAACATTAAGAGAAGTCAAAATGATATTTTGAGATTGGATGAATCTATCGATGTATATATGTGCAACAATGAAGCAAGAAGGACTGCAGCGAGAGTACTTAAAGATGCGATCCATGTATTGTTGAATGGTGAGTGTAGGTGCTCTTGAGCCATGAAAAACTGTAATATCAATGTCTTTTTTAGTAGTTTGCTCGTTCTTTTCAACCGATTTCTCAAGACATGAAGAAACAAGGGATACAACTTTTGGGTTTCCATATTTTTGTTTGAGGCCTAAAAAATGGCAGACTTTTGAGCCAATGGTGTCGTTTTCAAGTGTTAAAGCTGCTTCCTGCATTTATGAAAGAAAAATCTGTTATCGTATATGGAAGAAAAATGAAAGCCTTTTAAAGAGCCGAGGGAAATTCACCATTACCTAATAAGCTCGTATTCAATATACAAAATTTATTTTTGACAACAAAGCAATGTCATGTCAAGAAACGATTTCATATTTAGAAGAAAAACAAGATTAGCTTGACCCATATATGTTGTAAGAACCATAAACTGATGATTAAAAGCAAAACCCACAAGTAAAATTGCATACAAATTCGGAAATGTGTTGCAAAAAACATATAGAACGGGACCATTTAAGCAAGTAAATAAGTAATTTTACTCGTAATCTTGGATTATAGGATTCGTTGCAACTACTATGACTATTGAGACTTAATACCAACCAATCATCTAACCCTAATGGAAGGAGGTTGGTTACATCCAAACACCAGTAAATGAACCCAGATTGTAAAAACCATAAACTAATGATTAAAAAAGCAAAACCCACATAGATATTTATGACCGTCAATGTGTTACAAGAAATACCCAAAAATGAAAAGCAAGAGAGAAATCAAAGAACATACAGAGGAGGTCCTTGAAGCATCCATGGTTGCCACGCCCACTACCCAAAAGTCAAATCATCGATCACCTGATGTTCTATGTATGATGATGATGATGCATATGAGTAGTCCTTTACTTGAAGCAAGCATAAGCATAAACCCCTTTTATCTTCTTATAATAAGTTTGATCACTTTCTCTTTCTCCCTCGAGATTAGTTGTCTAATTTTAGGTCAATTCACGTTGAAAAATAGGTTTTCTTTTTTATTGATTGAATAATTTGTTGGTTTGCAATAATGGAATAGAATGGAGGTGTATTTAGGTGAATCAAGGAACATGAAAGCCGGTGGGTGTCGGTGGCCTATATATTTTATAGGGTGAATTACAAAAATGGTCCATGTGGTAAATAAGATTATATATATATATATATTAATTATGATTAAATAATGTATAAAATATAGTATATGGATTGAGAGCGGATTTACTGGTGACGTTAATGTGTGCACGTTAAGCTTTTATCAAAAGACTGTTCCATTAGAGTAATTAGTTAAGGATCGAAGTCCCCTGTCGACTCTTGTATAGCAAATTGGCAATAAGGGCATTAATCATGTTCGGAAATACACATTCTGTTGACGAATTACAGCTGTGATGCATGATTTCCCTTGAAAAAAACAACACAAACTGATTACTTTCTGTACATTTTCCCTTGAAAACAACAAACCTAGATCTAAATCATCTCTCTCAGATTTCATTTCAGTGGCTTGCCAAGTATCTTCATAAAGTAATCACACATGTCTGGCAACATCCGCTTCATCAAACTACCATACCTGAAATTGAAACTTCCATTTTAAGTTTTTGACTAAAACCATCGCAAGTAATATTAAAATATATATATATATATATATATATATATATATATATATATATATATATATATATATATATATATTAAATTGGTTTATTTTATCTTACCATGGTTTTGAATTTAATTTGTCAAAGTGTTCCAAAATAAACAGAATGCAAGCATCCTTTAAGGAGACAGCATTGAAGGCCTCTGATAAGTCATACATATATGCTACTTTGTCAAGCGTAATATCCTAATTAACAACAGATACAGAAACAAGATGTTCATGTTAGCCAACAAAAATCCATAACTGATGGATAGTTCCAATTCCATAACAGAGATGAAAAGGTTACCTGTGCAATGGTGTATTCACAAAGACGCTTGAGCCCATCTAGAAGATATTGGTCGGCAGCTCTAAGGAGATCCTGGGCTATTCTCAGATCCACCTCCACCGATCCACTGTAAATGTACCTCATCATTTTCTCAAATGTCTCCCAACTTATATTTGGTATCTCAATATCTTTTGCATCTCTCTCCTAGAATGCAAACCAACCACATTCATAAACACAAAACACACACACACACACACACATATATATATATATATATATATATATATATATATATATATATATGATACATATTATATGTTTCTAGTTTGAGACTAACCCTGTAACCACCATCAAACATTGCCCGAAACGCATCAGAAGAAGCAAGCAGGCAGATTCTGTGAGCATAAAACCGTTTGCCTGATATCATACCAAAAAAAATAAATAAACAAACATTGTCTGCCAAATCCATTACTTAATTTTTACTTTTTTTTAAAACATATCATATCATATGTACCTTCAATCAGGAAAGTTACATCAGAAAGTGTAGGGTTGTTCACATACTGCTCACCCAAATATACCTGCAATGCAACAACAATTACTATGCTTCTAACTTGGAATTTAATAAGTAAAAGACTAAATTGCAATTTTTTTGTCCAAGCATGAAGCTGATTGTTCCCAAAAAGTTCTATTACAATTTTGGTCCATACCTGTTTCAAGTAAAATGACTATTTCTGGGACCACATATGCAAACTTCAGCTATTCTCAGGGACCAAAGATAGTCATTTTACTTGGAACAATAAGAACCAAAAGCAATGATCAAAATTGAAAGCTTCGGGGACCAAAAATGTAATTCGCTCTAAGGAAAAAAAAAAAAAAAAAAAAAAAAAAAGGAAAGCCAACCTGAGATATTGGAGATGATGGTCCTGCTGCATCCACAGGATTAAGTGAAGTAGCTTTTTCAGCCAGCTTTCGCAAAGCAACACAACTGTCTTCTTGATGTTTTGAATTGCTTGATTGGAAAAGCTCCAAAAGTATATCCAATCCTGAAAAGTGTGTCATCAAATATATATATATATATATATATATATATATATATAAAGATTACAGAAAATGTGTAATTAGCAATATGTCACTCAAATTTTAACAAAGAACAGAACAGGCTGTTTTTACCAATGCTATCCACAAATATTGATTTCTGGTCATCAGGCGAACAGAGATGTGAAAGAGCCAAGGTAACTCGTCTTTGAACATTTCTCTCAGAACTACGCATCAGGTACAGCAAATGACTCAACACCTGACACAACAAATAGTAATACCATATTACCATGTGTGATTGAAATTTTCAATTAAGAATTCAAGCAATTATTACCCTTCCATGAATCTTCTCCTCCAACCTCTTCAATGTCTTTGCTACACATTCCCGAGTTGGCTGCACAAATAAATATAAACTCATGAATTCAACTAACCAAGTAATCTGTCCCAAAAGTCAGGCTTATTATTTTAAAGGGTGTGGACTGATGATAATTGATAAGTAAAGTAATTACTTGAACAACAAATTCACCATCCAGCAGCTTTTGAACACCACCAACTCTTATCAGATCAGCAACATTATCCTACAAAAAGATTTTACCATAAGTTGAATGGTAATTATTGGCTACAGATATATTATGAAAAATTATATTGCTCCAACTTTTTACAAAGTTCAAGGTTTTACCTCATTATCTGCAAGTCCATACAAAGCAAATGCAGCATTGTGTTGCAGAGTGCCATTTCTTGAATCTAGAAGTTTCAATAATGGAACAATGCCACCACTATGTGCAATACCAGCTTGATTGTGAGTGTCCTGATAGATGACAATAAAATCATCATTTGAAACAACATATTTTTTAATCATAAATGTTATAGCAATAAAGACATCATACAAAAGAAAATAAATAAATTCATGATTAATAGATTACCTGTGCCAACCTCCCAAGTGCAAAAGCTGACATTTCCTTCAGTTGAGCTTCTGGAGACTGCAACATATCAATTAGTGGACCAACAGCACCTCTTTGAACTATATGTACCTGAAAAAGTATAGTTTTTGGTTATGTGGGTTATGGCAACAACTAAAATTAAGCATAAAAACAAATTTTTTTTATTGTTAGACATACAGTTACAACACTATAGCATCATTTTATAAATGATAAAAATTTGAGAAACCTTGCAGTCTGTATCAGCAGCAGCAAACTGTCCAAGTAGTAATGCAGCTTCTCTTTGGCTCTCTGAACAAGTTGAACTGCTGACAAAAGATAAAATTAAACAAGGCCAAAAGAAAGTGAGCAAAGGTTGCATTAGTCAACAGAGGGGTATTATGGTACCTAAGCAATTCAATTACAGGCTGCAATGCTCCAGCAAGGAGAACTTCCTTCTTTATATTTGGGGATGAGTGCACAAGGTTGCCAATCACACCAACCTAAGAGACCATTCCAAAGTCAAAAGAAAGTCAAACATACTGAAATATCTAATGCAATAGATGTATGCACACTAATTGGTACTTAAGAAATGGTACAGAAACTAACCGCTTCATAGTGTATAGCAGCATCTTCTGAATGAAGCATTAGAACAAGGGTGGGCAGAGCATTACATTCCACTATCTGCAAATGTTTCATGGATATATTAGAAAATATTTAGTTCTTGATCCCAAAAAGAAGCTGCACTAAATTATAAAAGCATCAACCTGGTTTTTGTTTTCATCATTTTTGAAAGCTAGTGTACGCAAGGCTCCCGCTGCAGCTCTTTGCACTTTAGCATCACTGGATTCTAACAATTCAACAAGTGGAGGAATGCCACCTTCAACCCTAAACATGAAAAAATGTGATGAACTAAAGGTACCAAAATACATGAATAGCATCTTAACAAGATGGAGGGAAACAAACCTAACAAGGGTCTTGATGCTGCTATTTTCATGAGCAAGGTTGGTGATTGCATCAGCTGCTTTCCTTATGGCACCATTCAGTGCTCGAGAACTTTGGCCATCCAGCTGTCTCTTAAGAAGACCAACCAGATGAGGTAAGGCTCCAGCATCCACTATGCGTTGTTGATGCTCAGGCTGTTAAAACAATGGGAAGGTTTTTTGAAAGTGTTCAGAAATTGTTTGTGAACAAATTCAAGAGGAAACAATCTATCGCCATTAATAACAGTAATTTTATCAAACATAATCTTTCGGATTCTCCTTTATTTTAATTGACAAGGTTATGCAATTCAAATGAGTACCTACCTTAATTGCAAGAAGTCCAAGAGTAAAAGCACTTCCTTTTTCCACCTCATGTTCATACGGTATTGTGCCAGTAACAACCTCTTCTAGTGACTGTGGCGCTTGAAGATGCCGTACTAGGGCTGGAACAGCACCAGATTCGACGATCAAGTTCACAATATCCTCTGAGAAAAACATGAAAAATCTTAGCGAATAATAAATAAAAGCAGGGGTACCATTAATTATCCAACTTAGCACCTGTGCTAACACAAATCATTAGCAGATACTCAATAAAAAGTCAAAACAATCAAGAAACACAAAATTAAATATAGAAGGATCAGTGATCACACGAAGTAAGAATAAAATCTAAAAACGAAATTTAAGAGAGCATGTAATGAATATATTAAGAACTCGTCGGCAAAGTATTCAATTTATTTGCAGTAATAACACAAAGCATCAGCATCTACCTAGTCGCCAAAAAGAAATTTTCGTTGAGCAACACGATATTAAAAGGCGATAAGAACGGATAAACATACCTATATGTGTAAATATATATCACACGAAGTATGAATAAAATCTAAAAAACGAAAACTAAGAGTAGGTGAAATGAAAGATATTAAAAATTCGTCCGCGCGTTAACACAAAACTACAAATCTAAAACTTGCACAATAACTACTAAATTATAAGCAAACGAAATCAAATCAAATTACGCTGCGTAAAGTTGAAAAACAAAACTCAATAAGAAAAATTCAAACCATTCTTTGCGAACTCGGAGAGGACGTGAAGTGAGCGTTTGACTAGGGCACGATCTGCTTCACTCGATGAGAAAGTAGAATCGAGTACTTCAACCTGAGCACGAATTTCATATAATAGATCTTGTTGAGAAACGTCGTCTGTAGAAATGAACTTATGATCTACGATTAATTCGTCCTCCAGCTTCCTCTTCAGGCTCCTTCTACCGGAGTTAGTAGGTTGTTCATGGCGTCTCCGATCCTCCGCCATGAGAGATTGAATGTAGGGGTAAATTGGGGAAAGAGAAGTTACGTTTTACAAAAGGAGTATGTGAAAGTGAAAATGAAATGGGGAGAAAGCAATTTCGGAGGTTAAAATAAATGAATTAGAAATTCAACGCCCGCCCTTGAATAATTGTTTTTCCCCTCTCTTTTTTGAGATTTTCGTGCTAACGTACACTCCCGCTCTAAATATGTTGCCGAATAAGATGCTAATCTGCGCGCTGCATTTTTTATCAACTTAAATAATACAACTAATTTTCATTTACTTGGTTAATGTTAACTTTTTTTTTTGGAAAACGGCAAATATATTAAAACCCTATCAAGACGATGGGGGAAAAGAGTACAATGGAAAGCAAAAAAAAGAAAAAAGTTAAAGAACATGCAAATTACAAGCAAAAGAAGGGATTAATGTTCCACACTCTCCGGTCAATTTTCCCGAAGGAACCTCTATGCTTGCACCATGAGAAGGTAGTAACCTTTATTCTTTCTGCAATACTCGTCGGATTCGTTGGAAAGATCCACTTGTTTCTAGCTGTCCAAATGCATCATAAAGCTCTGCAAAGAATTACATTTAGTAAGCTTTGTTTCTTTCTACACCTGGACCATCGAGAGATAAAAAGGACAATGTCTTTCACCGATGTAAAGCATTCGCCTCTGATTTCACACCAAGATAGTAACAACTCCATCACTGATTTTGCAATATGACATAAAATCAAGGCGTGGTCACTAGTTTCCTCTCCAGCATTACATATACTACATATAGTGACTGGAATGGTAACTCCCCTTTGACTTAGTGCCACAGCAACTGGAATTCTTTCCTGTTTAGCCCTCCATATGAAACATAGAATCTTGTATGGGATCACTTTGCACCAATCAAAAGGCCCATCATTGACAATATGACTCGCCAACTCGATTCGTTCTCGTAACAAACTGACAATGAATTGATCTCCATACGAGAAACTAGATACCCATTTGTTGATCTCCGGATTCCAGGAAACAACCTCATTACGATCGATGTTGAGATTTGCCAAGCACCTGCTAGACTTTATGATGTTTTTCCAGACCCCCGTGATTGAGTAGTTACCAAACACAGACCAATGTCTTCCCGATAGCCCATGTAAGCAATTGATCACTTTTTGCCCAGAGGGCAGAATTGTCATTTTTTAGTTTCCATAACCATTTAGTGACCAGAGATAGATTAAGAGATTTAATTGAGCCAAGCCAAATACCCCCACCTTTTTTGGGGTCGTGATCTTTTCCCACTTCACCCAGCAAATGCTTTTTTTCCCGTATTCTCTGCTCCAGATCAAATTTCTTCTTATTTTTTCAAGAATGTCAATGACACCATTAGGAACAACAAAGATGGACATGTAATATATCGGGAGGTCACCAAGCACTGCCTTCGCAAGCGTAATTCTGCCACTGAAGCTCAACGTTTTTGCTTTCCACATGCTTTTTTGGTTTATTTAGAAAAAATAAATAAATATGAAATTTTAAACATTTGGGAAGTTTGAATTTATAAGAAAATTTAGAAAAATATTGAATTATTAAAATTAATGTGTTTTTTCTCTTTTAAATTTAAAAAAAAATAACTTAGATAAATAAACAAAAGAAACTAATGACTTTAATTTAGAAAGGTTAATTTAGAAGTTTAGAAATTAGAAAGAAAGTCAATTAATGAAATTGAATTGCATTTATTATTATACTTATTGCAATTAATATTTTTAATTTAATTAAATATTATGTGAAATTTAATAAAAATGACACAACCACAAAATATCACGTGAGAAAATTTTAATTGAAAATAATGACAAAATGACATATGGCCAAATCAATGAAAGTGTGGCATGTGGCAAAAAAAAAATCATTTATTAGATTAGATATTTACATACAATTTACTGACAAAAAAATGTATGTTGTATAAACTGATAAAATAATATAATTATGATGCATTTTTTAAGGTATTTTTTTCGCAAAAAAATTATATATATTTTTTTGGGCCTTTTGTTAGTGGATGGACAGGCTATAACTGACAATGAGTCGATTTTGGTTCGTTTTGTCTTCAAGCCATTTAATAAATGGGTTAAAGATTTCAACATAGCTCAACATATTTACTTGAATGGATTGAGATTTTCAACTTATCCAACATATTAGATAATTGGTTACTATTAGGTTGACTTGTTTATAAATTTCAAGCTCGCTAATTTATGGTTAGGCATCATGAGGCGTGATTGAAAAAGTGAGGTCCAGAGTGTGTAGTGTTCCCGACACCAAAATTCGGTTAGAGTGGGAATTATGGTTGCATTTTTCTAAATATATATTATAATATAACATTTATAATTATAATTAAAGTATTAAATAATATTATTTAAAATTTAAATATAAAGTTAAATACATATTAAATTTAAATGGGGTTGTGTTGACTAAAACATGTACTCACAAGTATACAAGGTCGTGCAAAGTAATATAATCGTAAGACCAGATATCGTACTCACATGACTATCTATCTTAATGTAAGATAAATCATATAAATGTTGGTTAAAATGGTTTAGTTTGATTAAACTAATGAAAACTAACTTTTTAAAACTAAGATAAAATAAAATTACCAAGCAACTAATACTCTAAGACCATATCCAACCTATCACTATTTTTTCCCTCGTGATTGGAGTAAAAAAATAGGGTAATGTTAGGTGTGTCAAGCCCAACAAATAAAGGGGTACGATATACTCCAAAAATAACACTACTATATTGCACTAAAAGGTAATACAAGGCAAGCAGGGTCGATCCACAGAGACACGGGACAATCAGTCTATACCTCTTTGCGCAAGGTACTATGGTTGCCAACACCAAAGAGGGGGGTTTTGAATGCAATGATTAAAACAAACAATTAAAAACACAAGTAATCAACTAAATGAGTGAATTAATTTTAGAATTTGTAAGGACTCCAACTCTATGTATGACAACTTGGCAATGTGATTCAAAGATGATTAGATATTGGCTCAATTCTATCTAAGTTGGTACTTGAAAGTGTTAATAAGCTCTAACACTTCCCATTCACTACATTAGTTAACCAAAACAAGCTTTTTTGATTAACCCTAACCTTACTAACCTAATCTAAACAAGCTCTTAGAATTAGATTAAAAGGTTGCATTAAACTTTATGTGAATGTTCCCAACAACACCCAATACTCCTCACAAGCTCGGGAGTGTAAGAGTGTGTGAATAAGATTTAGTGATTTACACTAAATTCATTCAATGGGAATCAGTTTTGTGCTTGTTACTTGGTCCAATTCACAAAATAATTACGGATTTTGCAATTAGATAACTTGAATGACCTAACTCTAATTCAAATGGCCAATAAGAATCACAATTAGATACAAACATTTGATTAAAGCAATATCAAATTCACTAGATAGAAATTAAAAGCAAACATCAAGTCATATGATTGAAATCATAACTCAAGAAGTCAAACATAAAGTTAGAGAAACTATGGTTCTAGCCACACATGACTAGAACAAGATTAACAAGTATAGAAAGGAAATTAAAGTACTAAAGTGCTTACAGAGATGAATTAAAATGTTTCCAAATGAACTTCTTCAAGCTACAAACTAAAAACTTCTTCTAAGAGTCGTCATTGGTCGCCTAGAGTGAATGAGAGCCCGTGTCCCCCCTAAAAATCCCGAAATTAGATCATAAAAGAAAACTGCCCCAAGAAGTTATGCGACAGACACGTCCCCATATCAAATTGTGAAGAAATGACACGGCCTCGTGTCACTCAAAAAGTTGGAAATTTTTCTAATCCGCAACCAATGTACGTTGATAAACCATTTGACACGACCCGTGTCAAAAGATACACGACCCGTGTCAACTCTTCTGTGACAAATTCTTGTTTTCTTCAATTTTGCTCTGAAAAATCCGCATCTTTGTTTCCGGCCCTTTTTCACCATCCCGATTCATCTCCAACCTCCAAAACCACCTGAAAATGGCATAAAAAGTGTGGAAATAAAGTGTGCCAAGTTTTGTCCCAAAACAAGTAAAATGCATGGATTATTACTAAATTGAAATGCAAAAGAGTAAATTAAACATGCTTCAATGGTGCATAAAATGCACCTAACAAATCTCCCCAAGCTTAGACCTTTCTTGTCCTCAAGAAAGAACAAAAGATAGACATAAACTGGAGAGAAGAAAAGAAGAAAATAAAAGTATAGATCTTTTTTTTTACAATGCAATGAATCAAACAAAACATAACAAAACAAAAATGATCCAACCCAATTGACCTTGCTTTTTTTCACATAGTTGAGAATATACCTATCGTGCCTTGAGCTAACTTGGTTTTGGCCCCACAAACACATTTTCATTAAAAACAATACTTTAGGCACTCCTTGATACAACTCAACAGAATCGAAGATTACAACACTTATTCACTTTTAATAGCACCAACTCAATTCATGGAACAAATTATGGTCTTACTCTCGTGAAAACATATGTGACAAAAACATGCTCAATCATCTTTGTTTTACAAAATAAAACAATGACCGACTCCAGCTATTTGTTGATTGACAACAATCTTTTTCTAAAAAAATCTTTTCTAAGAATTCCCTAAAATTTACCCAGATTGGTTACAAATTTCAAACCACTTACACCAGTCAAAGTAATTAACATTCAGTCCCAATGTCATAAGTTCAAGTCCAAGTTCAAATGAATCTTTTGGCGGTCACTCATTTTTCCTAAATATATTATTCAATTAAACTATAAACATAAATATATACACTATCTAATTATATTTTCCTACAAATAAAGCTCATGGCTTTCTTTGAAATCCTTGTAACGGGCTTCCAACCAACACATCCATACCATATGACCTTAGTGTGCTAGATTTAAAAAGATCCCTCAGGTTTATTTGCCCGAACCTCAAAGGCCACATATTAGCTTTATTTGAATATCTATTTTTTTTTAATTATTAAGTTCATGACTTTCTATGGAACCCGTGTAGCGAACTTTCAACCCAATCAGTCCCAAACTATTCAACTTTAGGCGATTAGGTGTAAAACACCCCTCGGAGTTTACTTATTCGAATCCCAAAGGTC